AATAGACAGGCAGGCAGGCAGGTACATAGAGAGGTGGAGAGGCGGATAAAAAGCGATGACTACCTTACCTTGGGTACTTTGGGAGGGAAAGGAAACGCAGGATGGATGGATGGATGGATGGTTCACTCGATAAATAATGAAGAATTTTTTAAAATTTTCCCAACCTAACCCAATGGCTTTCCATTCTCACAAACACACACACTCTCTCTCTTTCTCTCTCTCTGGACAAAATTTCTTTTTGTGTTTGCGATAACGTGACATTTTTTGGATGGCCAAGATTTTCGCCTGCAAACCAAAACTTTTGTTGTACACTTAGGTTGGTTGGCTTTCAGCAGTTTCGAATATTTCACGAGGAGTGAGCGGTTGGCTTTTCAGTTAACGGCTCGTGACTAGAAATAATCCCGGGTAAGGAGAAGCAAGCAAGCATGATTCCTGGAACTTGCCGCCACTGAGTAGGATCCAAATGGTTAAGGTAAGGTACCTTCTCTGTCTGTCCTCCAGGCCAATCATATGAAAACAGACGTACAGTAGTGAGTAGAGATACCTTTCCTAGGGAAGAGAGAGATAAGTGAGCGTATCCGTTACACATCAACTCTTTTGTACGCATTAATGCCAGACAGACAGGACATGTAGATGGGTATTAAGCTTTTTACGAAAAAAGAGCCTCTTGTTTCATTGCTTTATCTACCCGAGAGCCTAAACAAGTTTCTGGTAACATCAAGATGCTCTCTGCGTTGGAGAATCCAGATTGCCACCTCTGAGCCTGGCACCGGCTGCACCATTCTTTCCCTCAATCTTGAGAATCACTTGGTTTTGCCTCTTGAGAACCGCTAGAGTGGCCATCATCAATTTCCCTCCCTTCTTTCGCATGTTTTTAACTCCTGGTTTGGAAACCCAGTAGTAGCTAGGTAGTTACCTCGCCCTCATGGCCACCCCGCCTCCAGAATCACAGGGGGTGGGCTCCGGATGTTTACTCTTGTACGTGGCCAGCTCCAGGTAAAACCACCACCCAGTCTGTCTGCGCTCGCCTCGCCACCCCCGTCTTCCTGGTCCCCTTGGCCAATAACATCTTCAACATCAACGTCTTTTCTTTGTATAATCCCCCCCCGAATTAGACATCCGATAAGATCCACCACTCGCACCACTACTCCCAACCTCCTGGCCATCTTTCGCCCTCGGCAGCCTCCTCCCCTTGATAAAATCCGCTGCTTTTTCCGCCACCGCATACACCGTAGCCTGCAGTCCTCCACCTACAATCAGCGGCATAATACTCGCATCCACGACCCTCAGCCTTTTTACCCCGTAAACCTTCAACTCCCTATCCACGCACCCTCCCAACTTCTCAGGCATCATCGCGCACGTACCAGACGGGTGAGCAAGACTCGGCCAGAAGATGTCATGATTTCTTTTAAGCTCATCCAGAATCTCCTCATCAGTCTCGAACTGAGCACCCGGCGATATCTCACTAATAGGACCAAACCGCTTCACAAGAGCAGGCGAACGCCAAAACTCCCGTGCACGTCGGATGATGGCTAGGACGTTATCCGCGTCTATCGGGTTCTGTAGTGTGTTGTATTGGACTACTGGTAATCCGAAAGGGTCAGAGGGGTCGAGCGTGACGGTTCCGCGGGAGAGGGGCTTGAGAAGCGGGCCGGCATGAACCCGTTTCCTGGCATGGAGTGGGCTACTATTGAGGAGTTTGGTGACAGGTAAGATTTGGCGAGGAGGGAGCGTTGGAGTGTAAAGCCGCGGAGGAGAGAAGGGGTGGTGGAGTAGATGGGTGGTAAATAGGAGAGAGTCTCGGAGGAGGATTGGGAGAGGAGTTTGACTGCTGTAGCGGAGGCGGCGGCTGAGGTGTTGAGATGCGGAAGGCCGAAGAGGATGGCGCTTGAGGCGGGAGCGGCGGAGATAGGACCGGTGAGGTTGGCGAGGTACTCGGCCCATGCGGCGTCAAAGTAGGTGGTGTTGGTGGTGAGTGAGTCGGGGTTAGGGAAGGATTGGTTAGTTAGCGAAAAGATGAGGATGGTGGTCGCGTGGTCTTGGAGGTTGGTGCCTACGGCTGGGAGGTCTTTTTTAACCCGTATGCGCGCTGCTTTGAGGACGCTAGATGGGCCGATGCCGCTGACTTGGAGCAGTTGGGGCGTTTGGATGGCGCCGGCGGCGAGGATGACTTCTTTGCGGGCATACACTTGGCGGGTTGAGTTGTTAGCTCGGCAGATGATGCGGACACCGTTGGCTGTGAGACTTGGTCCGCTTTCGGTGAAGAGAATCTGCCTGGCTGTGTGGCCTGTTAGGAGGTGCAAGTTTGGACGGGTAGCGTTGACCGGATCGTAGTATGCTTTGCGAGCGGTTGAACGGGTCATGTCACAACCATCGATGGTGGAGGGTAACCAGTATGCGCCTGGGCCGTTGCCGGCGTTTTCATCCGCTCGCACCGGAATATCGTCCTGGCTACGGAAAGCATCCCATATGGTATTGATGTCGGGGTATTGGAAGCTCGGGATGTGGACGTGCAACGGACCATTGTCATAAGCGGTATGATCCCATGTGATGTTGAATTCGTTCACGGCGTCGGGCGTTGGGGGCGTGAAAGTCGTGCTTTTGCGGAAGTAGGGTAGCAGATCGTCCCAGCCCCATCCGGGATTTCCTAGAGCTTCCCAAGCGTCGTAATCTTCCTTGCTTCCTCGAAGATATCCCATGCCATTGACCACGGAGCCACCTCCGACAACCGCTGGGACAGCCACGGAAAAGGTGTCATTGTTGAGCTGGGGATTAGGAGCAGATGTCGGACTGATGAGGACATCTAGATCCAGACCATTGGCGTAGTAAGGAACGATTGCTTCAGGTTTGTCGTCAAAGGAGCCTCTCTCGATTACAAGGACGGATACTATGACATGTTAGCAGTCGATCATTTGCCTATGGGGTTCTGTTCCTACCGTTCTTGTCCCCGGTTAAGCGGTTGGCGACAACCAGGCCAGATACACCAGCGCCTACCACAATGTAATCATACGTATCGTCCTTGGTACCTGTGGTAATGGCTGTGGTCACAAATTGCGCCAGTAAAAGCGCCTGTATTGTTCGGATTCTCATGATGGCTCAGGGTAAGTGGTCGTCGATCGAAGGTGAGAACTCCAGGAAACCCCGAGACGTCCCAGGGTTGAGTCCCATGGTTGCGTGGGCCATAATGGACCTTTATATGCCTTTGGCTGGTCATCGCTTGGCGTGAACCGTCTGTGGTAATGCTTGGGTCGCTTCGCTCTTCGGCATAGTGTAGGGCTGAAAGATGCCCGAACGTTAGGCTGCCCAATTCTGTTGTCAATGATTGGATCGCGATAGACTTGGTATTGGAGCTGAATGTCATTGTTTTCCTGGTGTTTTTAGTGGAATATTGGCAAAAGGTGTTGAGGGGTGTTGGAAATGGGAGGTGCCACAAATGGTGCTTACTGAAGAGCCATCACGACATTCTTGGCGTTGGGTTGAGTCTATCCCCATTTCATACTTTATCGCGAATTTGAACTTTGAGAGAAAGGGGAGCAGAACAATAGAAATGGGGTAGAAAGGGTCATGTTCAATTGCGGTACATTTTCAAATCTGTGCGACCATGATGGCTGCCTGCCGGTGACCGGACGCGCGACGCGTCCAGCAGGACAACGACAAAGACTCAAACATGGGAAGCGTAACCAGCAAGCTTGCAATGTTGAGACTTTCCAGTTTTGAACTCAAGTTATTTTCTGCGCGCGCAAGTTCTGATCCGAACTTCAGCCCCGGCCAACCTGCCCCTGTGCGCACGAATCAACACGGCAGTCAACACCGCTGAAAAAGGGTCAGCAACATGGCATTCTGGTTATTGAAACCCTACGTAATCAACCTAGACATTCTTAACTTCCATCCCATTTGCAATATACCAAAACAAGTCGATTGCGGACAACTCGCCACCGCCAATTCGCGCGGACACCATTGACCATCTGCCTCCTCTGCGCTCCTTTACCCAGCCGCTGTCTAAAGCGTGCAGTCGTACATATGTACCACTCGGCCGGTCTTTTCCGCTTATTGTCCCTTTCTCATCATCATGTCGTGCTGCTCGATGTGGAGGATGGCTGGGTGTCACAGACCCCTTTAAACGCTGCAGCGATTGAGTCCAGACCCTACATCCACGACCCTTGGAGTCCAGTCTGTGTAAGGACAGAAAGTCTCCCAGTCCGCTCGTTGGGCCTTCATACACCGCGAGTGAACACACCATGTCCCACGATAACCCAACCTCATCGCGGCAGTCGAGAATCTCGGACGCCCGGCAACCACCAGCCCCGACCATCACTAGCAGCCGGCCACAGCAGAAGAGACAAACAATGTATCCTATGCTATGTCAACGATTGCACAGTAATTCTTGGGTCTTGTCGACCCATTCCATCACTTCTTCTTCTCAGACAGACTTTGTTACCGGTTGTGCTAGCCTCGAAAAACCAGCCCTAGATGTATCTCTACCCTCTTGCCCCGTCAAGGCTCCAACATAACGCATTACCGGCGATTCTGTCCCTTCCACCTCGGACTATTATGTGCTGTTTGGAAGGGTTTTCGGTGTCTTGTCTCTCTTCTGTGTATTTCACCTCGATCGTGGGGCCCCATGTCCTGAATGTCTCGCGATTGAACATGTGTTCTTCCTTCCTCCGCCCTTCTGCCACCCAGCTTGATCCTTGATGTTCCTCACAGGACACTGGCTTGGTCCAATCTACCTGGAACTGCGAATAGTCGTTTGAGTCACTTGTCTGGGCACAGCATATCCGACTACATTGGACACTTAGTCCCTTGACCTTCCTTTGTTATTCTCCTTTCTCCTCTTTTGTCGTTTACACAATCGACCCGTCTAGTGCAAAAAGTCCCATGCGATAGACCCAATGTCACAACCCATAGAACGAGTATTCCCCATACGGTTATCCATCCTTGAGAGTTCCCCTTTCCTACGGAACGTATCCGGTACGTAAGGCTCCAACATCACATCAATCCCTTCGAGAAGGTCTAACGCTAACATGCCCTACAGACACGGATAGTATTCTCTCCGTCGTTCCTGTTACCCAGCAGCTTTCCGATCAACATCTATCTCCGCCATCGCCCGATGAGCCTCCGTACGAACCCACACTTTCAACAACAGACCAGCAAGCAAATTATCAAGGCAATCCGGCAGCTGCATCTTCCCATAACTCTACACCACCACCATTCAAGAAAGGCAATGGCGGAGATGACTCGCTACTCTCTGAAACCTTCGAGTATGCTGTCTTGGCCGACGGATCCCATGGTGTTATCCAGAAAACTCGCCGCGCCTTTACTACGTGCGATGAGGAACCGATCCACATACCTGGCGCTATTCAGTCTTATGGCATGCTCGTTGCACTGAAACTTGTCCATGAGCGAATTGCTGGGCCTTCCAGATACATCCCCAGGGTTTGCAGCGAAAACAGCAGTTTTGTCTGTCATTACCAGCCCTCCGAGCTTCTGACTCTCGACAACTTCTACCAGGTCATGCCCATTTTTCAGCGTCATCTGTTCGATGTCCAGCTACGCCACATCCGTCAAGGATACGAAAGCACCAAGAAAGAGCAAGAACCCGTGGTCTTTGCTTTCTCCTTTTCCGATCCAGATGGCCGGCTGATTCCTTGCTGGTGCGCCGCACACTATCTAGGGGGGGATACTGATTTGTTTATCTGCGAGTTTGAGTTGCAAGGTGCGTAACAAAGAGGCAGTAAATCGGCGCATGAGACGGGTTCCTCTAATCAAAATTCAGATTACTCGATGCATCCGCTCGCAACGCCAGCAATGTCTGATTCAGGGAACCCTATCGACACTCTCGGCAGCGACCACTTGGATTTTGCCACCGCCTGCAGTATGCAATCTAAGGTCCAACCAGTATTCCCGAATCCAGAGCTCTTCAACAAGGGCTTTGACCCGAGCACTTCCTCAGTTGAGGTTATCGGCATGGCTACAAAGATACAAACGCAATTTTCCGAGGCAGCAAACGTGCCTGATCTGCTTGAAACCATTGTTTCGATAGTCAAGGAGGTCACCCGCTTCCACCGTGTCATGGTCTATCAATTCGACCGGGATTACAACGGCACCGTTGTCGCTGAGCTCATGGATCCAAAAGCAAGCAATGACGTCTACAGGGGATTGCATTTTCCCGCGAGTGACATTCCGCCTCAGGCTCGGAAGCTTTACATGACCAACAAGGTTCGCGTATTGTTTGACAGAAGCCAGAGGACATCGAGGCTCATTGGCAGAGATGTCAGTGACATGGAGGTTCCACTCGATCTAACTCATGCTTACCTGCGCGCAATGTCACCTGTGCACCTGAAGTATCTGTCCAATATGGGGGTACGGTCATCCATGTCCATGTCTCTCGAGTCCGACGGTAAGCTTTGGGGGCTTATTGTCTGTCACTCCTACGGACCAGCTGCAACCCGTGTGCCTTTTTCGATCCGAGAGTTATCATTCTTCGTTGGATTGGCGGCATCTACCTGCCTTCAGAAGCTGCTCAACTCGGAAAGGCTACAGGCACACCGGATTATCGAAACACTAAGAGGGAGGGGAAGTCCTGACGAGTGTATTACGTCTTCTTCACACGAACTACTGAGCCTCTTCGATTGCGACTGTGGCTTTTTGGTCATTGAGGGAGAGGCCAGGACCATTGGACGCCTGTCTTCCTATACCGAAGCCATAACACTCCTGAAATACCTCTTCTTTAGGGGATCCCGCACCATGCTGTTTTCACACAATATCAGAGATGACTTTAAAGATCTCCACTTCCCCTCTGGGTTCAAAGCAATTGCAGGCGTCCTCTACATACCCTTGTCAAGCACAACAGATGACTGTGTGGTGTTTTACCGCAAAAACCAGGTCCGAGAGGTACATTGGGCAGGAAAGCCTTCGTTTGCGGGCAAGATAGGCAGATTGGAGCCTCGAAACAGCTTCAAGAAATGGACTGAGGTGGTGGACGGCACGAGCAAGGCCTGGTCAATAGAACACAGTACGTTACACTCTGCGGCAGAATTCTAGTTATAGTCGCTAACCTCACCTACAGCCAACTTGGCAGCAATGGCTCAGCTGCTCTACGGCAGCTTCATACAGGTTTGGAGGGAGAAAGAGACCGCCATCAATGATACTCGACTTAAGCGACTACTTTTGCACGATGCATCACATCAAGGTAGGAACCAGGTATCCGTTCGGTCCAGACCGACCAGCTGACCAGGTGGTTTTTTCTTAGTACGAAACCCTTTGAACGCCGTCATCAATTGTCTTGAGATGGCCTTGGAAAAGCAACTGGATGATAGCACAAAGCAGGTCCTGACAACTTCATACACTGCGTCAAAGTCTCTGATCTATGTCATTGATGATCTCCTGAGCCTGACCGGTAGCATAACAGGATCCGTCCCATTGCTGGATGAACCATTTCATCTTCCACATTGCTTGGAAGAGGCGCTATATCCTCTAAGGAGGCTCGGTCAGGAGAAGGGTGTGGAAGTCATCATGATCCCATCTACAGGGCCAACGCAGTACGTCCGTGGTGATCCGACAAGCTTGCAGCGCAGCATATCCATCCTTGTCGCCAATGCCATACAGCATACAGCCAACGGCCAAGTTGTGATCCAGTGGCGCGAGACGGTCATGAATCCGAAAAATACCATTATACACATTTCCATCACGGATTCTGGCCCCGGCTTCTCGGAGCGGGAGCTGGACGACATGTTTCAGGAGTTTGAGCAAATCCCCGATGAAGACTTTGACGAGTCAACCTCAAAAGCACATGCTTTCAGGGGGAATGTGCTTCGCGTTGGCGTTGGCTTGGTTTTCGTGGCTCGATTTGTGAAGCAGCGGAATGGACAGCTGAGAGTCAAGTCAAGTAAAGGACGAGGCTCGACCTTCACCCTGGAGATCCCATTCGTGGTCTCATCCCGGTGTTCATCGATAGCTTCACGTCGGGATGCATCCCCGTTGCCAGTGCTGACGATGCCTGGACCCTTGGTGTTTGACCGAGAGTGCACGAACATTCCATCCGACTGTACCTTTGGTACCTTTGGAGATTCAGGAACATCTACCTTTGCAGACTCGAGGCCATCGCCCCCCATTATACGACCGAGCTCATCAAGCACCGGCGCTGATACATCGCTGAAGGAGTACCAAACTCCAAGTCCGCATCATTACAGTGTCATCGTGGCCGACGACAATATCATCAACGTGCAGATTCTGGAAAGACGTCTCACGAAGCTGGGCCATCGGGTCCTGGTCAGCCGCGACGGTCAAGAATGTTTTAACCTGTTCGCACCGAATCATTCCACTGTGGATTTCGTCCTGATGGATATTAACGTGAGTCCTTTTGTGCCCCCAATTGCCACATAGCCTTTGGCTAACTCACCATGTGCACACAGATGCCAATTGTAGACGGTTTTGCCTCCATCCGCATGATCCGCGATCATGAGTACAACCATCCCACGCCCTCGCGCGTCGTTCAGACCTGCGGGAGGACACCCATATTCGCAGTCTCGGGCATGCTTCGTCGCGGTCAAGAGCAGCGATGCAAAGAAGCTGGGTTTGATGGGTGGATGCCCAAGCCAGTGGATATGAAGAGGCTGGTTAGATGTCTGGTTGGTGCGCTGGATCCGGATGCGAGGAGGACGTGTGTGTATGATGAGAAGAGGTTTGAGCTTGGTGGGTGGTTTAGTGCTGAGTAAGCCTAAGGGGTGTGTGCGGTGGGAATGGTGTCTGGACTCTGGAATGTAGATGAAGAGTAGATGATGGCGTTTGTGGTGATTTCGAGGTTGGGTCGGGTCTCGGGGGTAATGGGCAATGGTCAGTCGTCTTAGCGACGTGGATGCACCGGTTTCGGGGGAAGGTTTCGCAACGGCAGGCGAACCAAACAGGAATTTGGAACATGGAGTTTTGCATACAGATTAAGACTTACAATAAACTACCATAGACAAAAGAAGACGTATTGATTTTGAGCTATCACGGCTATGCATCGTGGATTGAAAGATAAGACCGTTGACGAGATCCTCCTGCGGGGCCCACCGGAAAGGACACTAATAATTGCTAAAACCATGCCAATCTTCAACAACAAGTGAAATCACTCGGCGTGGTGGCAGAGTGGTCTAATGCGCAAGACTAGAAATCTTGTTCCTTCGGGAGCGTCTGTTCGAATCAGGCCCACGTCGCACGAATGACCATCCAATCACAATTTTTTTCATGCATTTTTTTTTATGCCTCTGTCATCTTCTCTTTCTCTTTTTTCTTTTTTCATCCCTTTTCCTTCTTCAATGCCTTCCCTTTTTTTCTCTTTTTGCTTTGTCGAGATTTTGCTTTCGTTCACTGGTGTACTCGCTGCTTTGATGCCTTTTCCTCCCTTATTATCATCGCCATATGGTATCGATATCCAGAATGTTCACATCCTGAAAATAACTTGTCAAAGTCGGTACAAGACGAGATGAGGACTTTGGTGAAACTACAATCGCAAACAATCAATTTTGCTACTGTAATCGGTAGTGACATTGCTTTTTTTTTGTTTGTCTTTTTTTTTTTTTTTTTTTTTTTTTGATACAGAAAAGACATCCGCGATTATCGATTGGTTCGTTTGATATGAGCTTTCAATATTGAAGACCCTTTTGACAGCGACAACGTCCACCTTTCAAGTTTTCTCACCATCACCAGCCATGGAATATGGTACGTGAGTGGGACGGCTTCATGAACAGGTCATATTATCGCGAATGAACCGCAATGTTTGGGGCTTGCTGGAGGTGACTAAGGTAGTCTAGGGGAGCTCAGGAAGTCAAAAGTCCAGTTGAGTTCGCGTCGTCCGTCGTTTCCACATCAAGAGGCTCATTCACACAAAAGCCTGTGATGCGGTGCGATGCCTCTGTGCTGCTCTGTGGTGCAAGGCGACAAGCTGCCCTGGCATTCCAATCACTTCACATCTCCGTTGCACAAGGCCAACTGCCGTTACTGACTTTGCTGATCAGGCACCTTATTACAGCTTCCACTTGGGTTTCGGTTCGGTTCGTTCTTATCATGGACACAATGATACATTCGTGCCTTGCTTGATCATATACACTACTTCCCGTCGTTCCCGTCTGGAGAAAAAAAATAATCAATCAATCAATCGAGAATGACAGCAACGGAAAGGACGCATAAACCGCTAAACTGGCAATTTGATAGCGGTTTCCTGGTTTCCCAAACAGAAGCCAGCGTTTCGAAAGCCTGAGAGCTCGAGTGTTGTCCCGCTTCTCGGCTTGTTTCAGAGTTTCAGGATGGCCGAAAGGTGTGGCCCGTGTGGTGTGGGAGGCTTGCACTTGCGCAGGTACCGATTTCTTGACAGTGGGCTCGGCGGGACTTGATTGGCTGGGAAGCTTTCAAGTGATGCACTGCATTGGTTCGTGTGTTGCTAGAAGGGTGAGTGGGGCTGTGACCCCTTGGGCCTATCGCTCCATTTGGGATTTTTGGATTTTTCTCCTTTTGCCTCCGTCTTTTGACAAACACCTGCAAAGTGGAAAATGTCAACATGATCCATCACATGATCGCGCCCTCGGCTCTTGGTGTTGAAAATCCATGGTGAAGAAACATCATGAAGCGCTCACCTCGGTCACCGCGGGTAACTTTAAGCTACCTACCTTAGCTGGCGTCAAGACCACGATCACGCTGTCAATTGACCACGGTGAAGTGGCGCTTCTGTTGCCGCCGCAGCCATACATAGCAACACTAACAATGCCCCGGGCTTGTGCCCCAAGTGCCATGGCTCCCGCGCTTGTTTTAGTCCAAACAACACCAGCAAATCGGTGACTGCCGAGAAAGACTTGGCCGACTACCGAGCGTGCCAGCGAACAAAAGGAACCACACCAGCTTTCGCTGTTTGCCGCGGGAGCGGATCTACAATCTTGGAAACTTTCTCGTCGCCCAACGCACGCGATGCTGCTGCCCCGAGCGATATCAACAAGGGCCCGTCTGTCAATAGCAGGACTCATTCTCCACTCATTAGCAAAAAGTCCCCAAGTCTGGATGAATCGACCGCGAACTCGTCACCTCCCTCCACTGATGTGAATGATACCCCTGGCTTGCCGTGGCTGCCGGCACATCCACGCGAGTCCCAAAAAGATTCTGGACTTCTCAAACTCCAAGCCATCGACTGGACATCGGCGCCCTGTTGGTGACCTGCCAATATCACCTTTTTTTCCTTGGTGTTTCATCCCTGTTACTCTCCCAATCAGTGGCTGAGCCTCGCTCTCGGCTAGGACCGACCCTCGCTTCGAACTTCGTCGTCGTCGTCGTTCACTCGTTCCTATTGTTGCCCACATCCATCCATCCACCCATGCTCCGCTATCCCTCCGCCATCCCGTCTTTTCACAGGTATCCACTATCCACTGCTGCCATCCCATCCGGTCAGATCAGGTACCGATGCTGCGATACCTATCCTATTGTACTTCACCAATGGGTTCCTATTCTGGTCTATGGTCCATGGACTTGCCATCCATCCGTTTTCTATGGGGCAGGGGTCATTCACCCATTCAGGCACTAGGTAGTATCCCCAGGGGGTTCAAGTTGACCACCCTGATGCAGAATCTATATATCTATTCATGCCCTTCCCGTCTGAACCGTGCTGTGCCTTGTTTTCTTACCTCTCTCACATCATCGTCCAGCTATTTCGTTGTTTCTGTTTCCGTTCTCTTCCCCATTTGGGATCTCTTCACTCTCTCTCTACCTAGCCCGGTCTGGTACATTTGTTTCCTTTTCGGCAAAACTTGCTATTATACATTCTCTTCAACGACAGGATTCCTAGTGAACCATTACTTTCTCTCTACCTCACCGGCTGTTGTAGATTCATACATACAACAACATCACGACAACCTTCGACACTCCTTCATAGCAAGTCTATCGAATCGGATTTTTTTCTACAATTTTACTACTTCACGACATCGAATCACTCGATCATACATACGTTCTTGTCATCATCAACTTTCGGATTCCATAACGAACCATATCTTGAAGAACGATAACCAAACAACATTATTCAAAATGCATTTCTCCGCTGCCACCGCTACCGCCTCCCTTTTCACCTTCTTCTCCCTCGCCTCAGCCGGTGCTGTCCCACCCTACCCAGGCTACAAAGTCATCTGGGCCGACGAGTTCACCGGTGAAGCCGGTGCTCACCCGAGCTACTCCAAGTGGAACTACGCCGTCAAGTAAGCTCTCTATCCACCCCCTATTCCCCATTAACCTTACTAACAAATTAACCAGCACGAACACCAACAACGAACTCCAAGCCTACACCACCTCCAACACGAACATTCAACTCTCCGGCGGTTCCACCGTCCAATTCGTCCCCCGCAAGGATCCTGCCACCGGCAAATGGACCTCCGGCCGTCTCGAGTCCCAAGCGACCTTCACCCCGTCCCCCAACCGCACGACGCTAGTCGAAGCCGCAATCCGCTTCGGCGACCTCGCCACCTCCCAAAAGAAGGGTCTCTGGCCCGCCTTCTGGATGCTCGGCGACGCCATCCACCACGGCACGCCCTGGCCGCGCTGCGGCGAGCTAGACATCATGGAGACCATCAACGGGGCCATGACGGGGTACGGCACCGTTCACTGCGGCGGGGACGCGAACGACGCTCCCGTCGGCGGTCCTTGCGACGAGCCCGTTGGTATTCCCAACAAGGTCGACTTGCCCGATTACGGGTGGCATACCTGGTCGCTTTCTATCGACCGCACCAACCCCGGCGGTGACTTCAATGGGGAGAAGATCTCTTGGCTGTTGGATGGCAAGGTGTATGCCACGCTTACCGGCGCGGATATTCAGGATGAGGGCGTGTGGGCGACGCTCGCCAGAAGTCCGCTGTTCATCATTTTGAACTTGGCGGTCGGTGGTGATTGGCCTGGTGCGCCGGATGCGAATACCAAGGATGGATTTGGGAATATGATGGAGGTGGAGTATGTGGCTGTTTTGGAGGCTTAGAAGGCTATTCAGAACGGGACATTGTGTAGTCCATCGACATCGATATCGGGGAATGGAAATGGGACGTCATCATCGTGGAATGGGGGGCAGAGTTTGAACCAGACTACTTCTTCGTCGTGGGACCAGATGTCTTACCCAATGGGGACGGAGAAGGAGGCAGGGAACAGGAACGTACCGGTGGTGACTAACACCACCATTTGGCGTTGTTGAGCACTTGCAGGTTCACAACCCTTGAAGCACGAGAAACTTGAAAGGAGAGGAAAGAAGAAAGAAGAGGTCGACAACGATTGGACCTGGCGCTTGGAGTTTTGATTCACAAACCCTCCTTTCTTCTCTGCTACGCCGTGATTAACAGGAGCTTGGATATCTTGGGGGGAAAGCTTTGCTTTTTTGTTTCAGAAACCTTTTGCACATACTTTACAATGATACCTCTGTCTATTTACACAATTACCTACCTATCTGCCACCTACTTGGATATATACTCTGTTGCTGTTTTCCTGACTCCTTTTCAGTGCGATGCTGTCCTGATTCCTGATTCCTGATTCCTATTTCTTGTGTGTGTGTTCCATGTGGAATGTGGAATGTGGAATGTGGAAGGTGGAAGGTGCACCCCGCCTACCTCTGACGCTTTTCGTTCTTGAATAGGTATTTTGGCTTGGTCTAAGGTAGCAAGTCATTCCTTCTAGGGTAGCTTTCAACCATGTCGTCAATAACAGAGGCATTGCATTGCATTGCTTTGCATCACATTGCATCACACCGCATATCTTCTGAGCCTCTTTTACGGAACGATGATGGACGACGCGGCGTGAACATTCCCGATCTGAGCTCCCCTGGTCACTGCACCTCCAGTCGTGCTCCAGCCAGCCCAAACAATCGGTTCATTCCCAAACGACATGACCTGTTCCCGAAGCCGTCCACTCCCAGGTTCACCAAGGCAGTGATGGGTGACAAACATGGAAGGGTGAGCGCTGTCGCTAACAAACTTCATGAAGGGCCGTCGAGCTGCCGTCGGACCAATCGATAACTGCGACCTAATTATACGAAATCAACCAGTTCATCCATCTTTCATCACTACCAATCCTGAGAGACCAATCGACACAGTCAACCCGCGAAACAACTTCCGAGATACCAGCCAAAAACCATCGAAAAACCCACAGGGACTTGGCACACATAGCTCAGCAGTGATCACTCTTCCCACTCCCCCCATCTACACATCCACCACCGCAAAACATCTGGTAAGTAATCTCGCCATTGGCGCCTCCAGTGCAATAGAACAACGCGTTGTGGATGTGCGCGTCATCGGTCGGTTGGCCTTTGGCTTTGAGGGCGCCGACGATTTGGTCGTAGTAGTTGCCTGCAATCCTCAGAACTTTATGTCAGTCGCAGGCTCATGTCTCGTTGTAGGGTAGGTAGGTAGGTAGGTAGGTAGGAAGAAGGTTGGATGGAAGCAGGTATGTACAGACTACTGACCTTTATGCAAAAGACTGTTTCCGCAGTAGAACAGACTGGACTTGCAGTTATCGGCGCTGACGAGGGCGCTGAAACTGGTGGCCATGCCGAGGAGGAGTGCGCGGGAGATGGCGACCATTTTGGTGGTGGGTGGCTGTTGTTATGGAAGTGGAGGTTGACGACTGGATGTACTATGGTTTGCTGGTGAGTGGTTGTGAGGATGTAGAGGTGGAAGATGTGAGGATGCGGGTGTTTGTGATGATAGTTAGAATTGACTTGATGCAGGACTGCAAACGTCTTTTATACAATTCTCGACGCGGAGGTTGTCCGGGTTATCGACAAGTAAGAACTTTTTCGGGGCATCGATGTAAGAGGTAAGCCATACTCGGATCTCGCATGAAGGTAAGGTTTTCATGCAATCATGTTCGCGATTTTCCCTCCATTGCATATGGGAATGTCTTCGGTGATCTCACCGCCGGGATCGGGTTCTCGGAGGAAGAAGCTTGGTGTATGGTATCGTAGAGGTCTGTATGGCAAGACGAGGCATGTTACACAGGACAGCCAGCATGACATGGGTACCTGTAGTACCGTAGCTGATATGTGCTGACCTCAACTCCGAGTATACCTCACACAAACGGTTTGTATGCTGACATGACCGAATCAAGAGAAAATCTGACCGACTCGTAAGGGGTTCAATTAAATCTTAACGACATCCATCCTCCTTATTGATTCTCTCCATGAAAAAGGCTGAGACCCAGTGCTCGTTCCGATCAAACTAGACACTACTGCCTTTTACTCAACCCCATCGTTGACATCACTTCCCTTCTAGTACCATGTCCAGTACCATGTCCAGTGCAAGTAAATTATAGGTTGAAAATCGCAGGTAAAACAAATAAACAAGCAAAAAAATCCAGTCCACACCGCAAACGTTCCCGATAATGAATGAACATGATGATGCTAAAGGGACGGAGCACCCCTCAAAATCATTGGATGCCTATGTCTCTTCTCACGTTCCGCTTTGGATGGTTGCTGAATACCTAGTATTAATATTTCCAATTTTCTCCTCCTCCTTCTCCCATACATATCCCGCTTTCAATTTAATTCTACCACATCCAGTCTATAATGAAATACAACGGTTACTAAGCATCCCCCTATTCCACATTCTTGCCCTCTTCTTTGTTTTTCTCTTTTTTTTTCCCCTTCATTTTTGAATACCCTTTTTTTCCCCTTTACCTTTGCCCTCCATCCATCCAACCTCAAGCCAGCAGCAGCAGCAGCACTCAGCGTAAGTTTTGAACTTTTGATATGTCCAGTCAGTCAGTCACCACGCATTTCTCACAAATCACAAGGGAGTCGAGTCAATGCTTCTGCTTGGGAAAGTAAGGTACCAACCAACTGTATGCATATATCTAGATGGCTACGCTACTCCAAGGTACTTAACCAACCAACTACCTGCAAACAAATAAACAAAAACAAATACAGAGAGTAGTACCGTGACTGCTCAACACCATGATATCTTGCAGCAACTCTGAACAAAGTCAACAAAAAACCGCGATTGATCCCGAGCGAGCAGCACTAAACCACCAAAGTTCGTCTTGGCACGAGTACGACGGACCGTCCATTAACATGTCTTGCTGCACGCAGCAGTGGAACGTACAGGCCGCATGTCTTGCATGCACTAGACTACCCTACATACACCTCGCCGTTGAAATACCCCATCCTCACCGCCAACTCGTCCATCAACTCGGCGCCGATGCCGAGGGGGTCGTTGTCCAGATGCATGCGATTGCCAATTCTGTTGACGGCAGGGACAAGGGTTGGGGTCACGCCATAGATGACATCAAGAAACGGGTCGTGGACGACGGGGACGGAGGGGATAGGGGGAGAAGGGACAGGGACGACAGACGCAGAGACGATCGGAGAAGGCTGAACAGAGGCGGCCGGCACAGCAGGAGCAGGAGAGCGAGGAGGGCTGCGGGCCCGGGCCGGGCTCGAGGACTCAACCTCTGGCGAGAGGGAGGGAGAAGGGATACCCTCGTAGCGATGGCGGCAATAATCCATTCTGTCCATTCTGTCCATTCTGTTGTTGTTGTT